GGGGCAGCCCCTCAGCCCCCCTCACCAGGGTGTCCCACCTGCACGGCACCCACACTCACCTGAGCCCTGCACCAGCCCCACGCAGCCCAGCAGCAGGAGGGTGAGTCCGGCCGCCGCCACCATCCTCCTCTCCAGCGTCCCTGCGAAAGGCCACGCAGGGTCAGGGCGGTGCAACAGGGCCTGGAGACGCTGCCTTGGCCCAAAGGTGCCAACCCACCTGCACCCTGGGGCTCTGTGCTGGCCTGGCCCGTGGGCACAGCGCGGGGTCCCCCATCCCACCGCTGTGCTCAGCAGGGATGGCTGAGCGCGGGCTCAGGCGTCGGCAGCAGCAGCCGGAGCCACCAGGGCCAGGAGCTCGGGGCAGCGTTCCCGCCCTGGGCCCTCGTGGCCCTCCCGCTCCCAGGCAGCCACATCAGTGCAGCTCCCCTTCATCCCAGCTAATCCCTGGCCCCAGGCCCTTTTGCCAGCTCAGCTCGTCTTCCCCTCGATGAGGCAGTGACAAAAGCCCACGCAGTGCCCCAAATTGCGCTGCCGCAGCCTCCCCGGTCCAGCCGAGGCAAGGGCCATCCGGCCCAGGAGTGCCAAGGGCCTGGGGTACACGCTGCCCTCACAGGTGGCCCGGGAGCCATCAGAGCCGCTGGCCCCTCTCACCTGCCGCAGGAATAACGGCCTCGACTGCTCTCTGAGCCTGTGAACAGCTCCCCTATATAGCCCTGCTGCGAGCAGAATCACTGTTTGCTGAGCCCAGGTGATCGATTCCCATCATAAAAATCTTATTGTGAACTCTGCCCCTTACTCCTGGAAAGCAACGCAGATCTTGATGGCTCTGTTTGCGCTTGACACTCCTGTAATGAAGGCAGGAAGAGCACCTCCTATTTGGTCAATAACTCCCCCGCAATTAGCATCCGCAGTGAAAGTAAACGCTGGGATGGCTTTCCATAGGGAACTCCATCAGAGCCCACCGGTGGTTGAGGGGCCCCGGGCCTGGATGGGGGCAGGCCACCCCGCAAGAGCTGCCCCGAGCGGGCAGTGTTTGGGGCCGATGCCGGGCAGCCAGCCCGCGGCAACCCTGCGGCTGGTAGCAGTGGGTGCCCTGGCCGACCCACACAGCGCCGCAGTGCGTCAGCCCGTGACGCCCTTGTTTGATCCGCCTCCGCGGCCGCCAGCAGGGCTCAGGGACAGGGGAACAGCCGGGCACCGGGGGCCCTGAGGCTCTATCAGACAGCGGGTACGTGCCCGGCCCCACAGCCCTGACGTGGGGCTTCGTTTGCTTTGGCCACAGCCCCCAGGGAGAGGCAGGGCCACCGGCAGCAGTCACTTGCCCTCCTCTTGGCCATTCCCCGTGCAGCAGGCGGTGCGGCTCCCCTGCCCCCTCGCTCCAACGCTGCTGCCCTCGAGCACTGCTTCAACCACCAACATGCCGCTTCCCTGCCCGCAGCCCTCGCTCCCGACCTCTGCGCGGAGCAGGCCCTGCAGCCTCGAGGGCCATTCCTGGGGCTCCTGGCCCTCCTCTCCACATCCCTTCAAGGCTCCAGTCTCCAGGACGGGGCTTCAAGGCAGCAGCCAGCCGAGCCAGTCCGGGCCGTGCAGGCACCGAGCCAGCGCAGATGGTGGCTGCGCTGGTACCAGGAGGAGACAAGTGTCGCGGGCACTGCAAGGAAAGCTCCCGGGTGCCCACGCTGCTCCCAGCACTACCCCAGAGACCCTCATCCCCGCAAGGACAGCACGAGCATCCCGAGAAGGGAGGCTTGTAGCTGACCCAAGCTGTTATCTCTCGCTATGGAGCTAAACCCAAGTGCTCTGCCCTCCAGAGATCTCACGCAGCTCCTCTTTGGCAGCACTTTCCAAAGCAGCACCCACCCTGTGCCGCTGCAGCCCCAGGATATGGCTGCGCTGGGGCCTGCGTGGGCAGGTCTGCCGCTGCTCCTGGGAAAGGAGCATGGGGCTGGTCTCCTTCGCCCATGCAGCGGCGGTACCACTGCCAGCCCACAGAGCTGGCTAAGCTCTCGGGGGATAGATGGAGGGGAAGCCCCCTTTCCAAGCCAGGCACTTGCCTGGTGGCACTTCTGGAGGAAACCACCCTGCACAGCAGACCAGCCACACTCTGGACACAGCTGCCCCTGCAGAAGACAAACCTCCAGCCCCGCTTTACCTGAAAGCATGAAAATGCTCCTCAAGGAGGTAGCACTGATATCTCTGACGGGAAGGTGCCCGGAGGCCATCCTTGAGGAGCAGCTCCAGGCTTCACCTCAAGCACTGGCAAACTCAGTACATCCGTGCCAGCGAGGCGGCGCTGCCCTGAACTCCCTTAAACTTTGGCACAGATGCACGACCTGTGGGAGAACATGCCCAAAAGCCTCCAGCAGGTATTTACTCGCCCAGCTGGCTCTACCAGAAGATAAGGGAGCTGCTGTTAGAACATTCACCCCCACCCCGCCATGCCGCCCAGCAGCTCCTGGCCCGGGTGGGAGGTGCAACTCTGCTACCACCTTCAGCAGGGCCACAGCAAGGGTGGAAAACCTGCCGGGCAAGCGTCTGCTGGGCCCAAGGCTGCGGTGACGGCTCCCTGCTCAAAACAAGAGGAATGAAGGCCCCAATTTTGCTCCCTGGTTTTTCAGGACTGTTTGGCCAACACGGGTGAGCTAGGCCTCCCTGCTGTGTGCCTCTATGCCTTACCTTGACACTCGAGCCGGACACACGGAGGCCTCGCAGCTCCAGGGATGAGGCTCCTGCTTCCTGGCTGGAGAAACAGCCCAGGGCCCAGTGAAGGCAGCCCAGTCTGCAGGGGAGAGCGCGGGGAGGCCTGCGCTAGCCCCTGCCTGCACCCCGGCCCACGGCCTTCCCAAAAGCCACACGCCAGCTCCCCGGCAAGCAGATACCTCACACAGGCCACCAGCCAGGCCCCCGTCCCGTCCAGCACACCCTGCGTGCGGCTGATTTCTGACCCTCTCTGCAGCTTTCCAAGAGTTCCAGGACCCTTCCCTCATGCTTGAGCTAGGAGGCTGCCAGCTCCCAGGCACAATTCCTTTGGGATGATCAAAACAGAGGGGCCACGGGGGCTCCCTCGATGCCCCGAGGTTTCAGCACTGACAGGTTCTCCCTGGGCAGGGGCTGAACAGGCAGGAAACACCAGCGAGCTCTTCATCACCCTGTGGCTGTGCCAGGAGAGCCAGGGAGACAAATAAAAAAGGAGCAGCACAAAGACGCTGGGCACATACTCTTTATTTGGGGGATAAAAATTGCTTATACATTTTGCAGCAACTATTTTCATAAAAGACTTTTATAAAAAATGTAAAAATAAGCAAATATTTTCCATTATTAATACAGGAAAATGCTGCTGTGTGAATGGTTACTCTACGACTTACGAGATAAAATACCACCTTAAGGAGATATTATCTTTACAAGTAGTTAAAAAAAATAATAAGGCAGGGGGCCATCATATTAATACACACCAGGCACGAAACTGGCTTCATTCCTCAGAGGGCACACATCCTGCAGATGGTAGCCACACATATAAAAAGGCACTTGATTATTTGGGGCTAACACGTAAAAGCCCTTGGTTTCTTTAGCAACTGGTTTAGCAACACTTGATTATTTGCAGTGAAACGTGTACCTGGACAGACCTCCTGGAGCAGCAGAGCTCCTGCCTGGAAATCTGAGCGAGCTGCATCTAAGCTTCACAGTTCATACTGCGGCCAGTGCGACGGGGAATGCTGTGTGCGTCGTAAAAGGCAGTAACTTCAGAATAAAAACTTCAGCCCAAAAACATGGCCCCGGGAACCGGCTCCCCCTGAGGCCCTGCCTTCATGTACCATTGAGTCAAATCAGGAAAGAAATAATAAAAGGAAAAAAAAAAAAAAAAAAAAAAAAAAAGCTTTACTCTTGACTTGATTACGATGAAAAGAAACATTGAAAGAAATACTGTACATGGTAGGATGCTAAATAACCACTGCTCCCAGGGGAGCGGCCTCCTGTGTCTTTTGGTCACAGCCGACAGCTCTCAGATCTCTTTGGAAAGCTTGTTTGTAGGCTTCCCCCAGGGAGGTAGAAGTAAACCATACCTAGAAATGTGCACTTCTACTCTTGCCTCGTCCAGAGCCCTTCAGGGAAGCGTTACTCTTGCATCACAGCGATGTAGAGAAAGCAGAAGCAACAGCATTTCACCTGACAGCCCTAACAGCTGGTTTCCATCCCTACAAAAGTATCAGGGGGAACTGCAGTACAAACGCCACCGCTGTCCCACAGCATGTGCTACGTGTTCCCCACCACGGAAAAAAAAAGCTGAAAAACCCGCCCCCCCCCAAACCTGCCGTAAACCAGCCGCTTCCAAAGGACTGGCCACTCCTCCATGAGACCGTGCGTTTCGTGACATGGACCCACACACTGCAAACACGTAACGACATCCTCCGCAGTTGTCGCCATCACCGCAGAGGCAGCACGTGCCGCCTGCAGGGCAGAAGGCACAGCAGCTGGAGGAGGGGGCAGTTCTGTGCAGTGATGCTGGGAATTTGCCTCCTGGGATTTGAAGCACTTCTCCTGATCCCGAGCGCTTCCCAGCAAGCCTGCTTTGCTCGCAGGGCATCTCTTCGGATAGGGCAGCAGACGAAGGCTGTCAGACACACCCGGCACTTGAAGGGGAAAGGCTGAGGCTGCAGGACCAAAGGTGATGGGTCCAGTCACTTGACCTGTAGGCGTTTCGGGAAGTCTGGCTTGCTTGCTGAGCAAGAGGAGCCATGAGGAAGAGGGGTGTAGGAATGTGGGTGCAGCTCTGAGCTGAGTCAAGACAAGGCAACTTGAGCTCAAGAAGAACTAGCAGAAGGTGCTTCAGAAAGAGATTAGGTAGGTAACAAAAGGAGTAACAAAAACACAAAGCTGGTTTTGGCTACATTTCTGGAGAAATGACCGTAAGATGCATTAACCTGAAGAGCTGTTGCCTCAAGGAAACGGTGGAATATACTTAAAAGCAGACTGGAGAATCCAGTGGAGGCAGCAATCACATCCTAGGTGGTAGGGACTTGGTTAGAAGTGACCCAACAGGTCTTCTCCATCACCAGCTTCTACAATTCTCTGTTTAGGAAAGCATAAAAGCCTACGGCAACCACAGTCCTTCCAGTGAGAAAAGCCTGGGCTCATTAAGACTCTTGGATATTAAAATGGTTCTTCATTTCCATCTGGAAGACCTTCATCAGTTCTGGAGTCCACTTGCTCGTCTTCCTCGTGGCCGGCCCTCAGGCATACACCTGCATGTTGTTCCGCTGCTGCTCGGACATGTGAGCGGCCGCCGGCCCACGCTGGTTGTTACCAGGACTTGTCGCCACATCGGACCAGTCGGAGGCAGAGTGTGGGGAAGAGCTTGACCATTGGTCCGGAGACTCAGGTGATGGAGTCAGGTACGGGTGCTCCCCTTGCAAGTGCCGGTTGTGGCTAGGAGTCCGTTCCGTGGCCGAGGAGTAGCAGCTGTGCTGCGACGGCGGCGTCGGGTACTTCCCCATGGAGCTCTGGAACTGGTGGTAGGCCGGGAGGATGGTCTGCGCCACCTGCCCGTCCTGCTGAGGGATGGCAGCCATGGAGAAGGAGGCGCTGGGCAGCTGAGCTAAATCCGGGATCTGGTACATGGAGCTGAGAGGAGCTGCCATGTTCTGAGCGCAGTTTGGTTGAGCCTGCTGTGGCAGTGCTTGCTGGTTTATGCCGCCCTTGGGAACCAGCTGGAAAGTCATGATAGGGGGCAGAGACTCCCTGGAAACTCCCAAGTGCTTTGCATCTGCTTGAACTAAGCTGCTCTGCTGAGAAGCGCTGGGGTGTGAATGCATCACCTGGGGCACCATGCCAAACATCTCATTGTACTGCGATTCATTCATCTCCATACGATTCATCCACTCGGTGGAAACATTGGCCGTCCGGAGCCTGCCGAGCCCGCTGTTCGGAGGGGTGGTTCTGTGCTGCGAAAGCAGCTGGCTCACAGAAGGGAGCACGGTGCCGGATCCGCGTCCCAAGGGCTGCATCTCGTGGAGGTTGGAGAAGGACATCGTATGCGCGGCCTGCACTGACGGGGCAGTCAGCAGGGAGCTGGGGGACGAGTGTAGCACCCCCGGCGAAGGCATCACAGGCGAAGATGTTGGCTCAGATGCAAAAGCATGGGGTGATTCTAGGGAATCAACTGGTGACAAGGTCACTGAGCTCTCTGAAAATTGCCCTTTGCTTTCGCTGAGGGACTTCTTCCTTCTCCTCTTGGCATCTTTGGTGAGGTTCGTGGGTATGATGCCCTTGGCATTCGGTTTGCGTGACTTCTTGCTTAACGAGGCATGTTTCAGATTGAGGAATGACCTGTTTGGACCACAAATGACTGGGGAGAGGGCAGAGTTCAGCATGGCACCTGGGTGCCCAGCAGGGCTGTGCGCGACGTTGTACTCATTCAGGAGCTGCACTATGTCATGATGCATCCGGTCCTGGGCCACATCCCGGGGCAGGCGATCCATGTGGTCTGTGATGTCCCGATTGGCAAAATGGTCTAGCAAGATCTTTGCTGCTTCAAAACTGCCTTGCAAAAAAGCGGTGTCTCCTCCTGAAAACAGAGAGCAGATATTTCAGCGGCTTTGCTGCTGTAGCGGAGAGGGAACCATAGTGCTGTGGAGGGACTGACTCCAAGCTAATGCTCCCTCAAGGTTGCAATAACACATGGAAACATAGCCCTAACGTGGTGTGTTGCTAACTGCCTCTAGGAACATCCTGCTCCAGGAGACAATCTTTGAATGGGGCAGATTACAGGAGGAGCCTGGGGATTTTGTGCATGACAGTGGGACACCCAGGTTAAACTATCGCAGCAGGCACCGTTCTGCCATGGGTGCTGTGAGGAACTGTGAAAGCACTTGGTGCCTTTCTCTCACCATCTGCCATGATGGGGAAGGCACGAAGGACTAAAGCAGACCAGTGGAGAACTGGAGCTTGTGGGTAGCTCTGAAATCTACTGAGCAACACCTAACATTCAAAAAACAAAACCTCATATAGAGGAAAGAAACCGAGCATTAACACACAGCTAATCCTAAGAGCAGTGAAACAGCAGGAGCTCTGCACAGTGCAGGCTTCCTCGCAAACAGAGAGGCTGCACTGCAGACCCTGGTAGCATGACAGGAGGTGACTGCTGCTGCGCCACCAGACCTGGCTCTCTGCTGAACAAAGAATTTAGCTGCTTAGCATGAGCAGCATTTCAGCCTGGTGCCCTCACCCCACGGACTGCTGATTGCATTCCTTTCTGCAACAAAAGCAGGGCAACATCGACGTGCAGGGCCTCGCCAAATAAGAATAACAATTGTTCTCCCACACTAAAAAAAAAAATCATTCAACATTTGGGGAAAGTTCCAGTCATGGTCTGGATTTGGAAGACCTGCACTGTGCACTCAGTTTAGAAACTCTGGGCTTAGCTCGCTTCCAACAGCAGCGAGATGATCCGAGGGAAAAACGACAGCCACGCTGGGCACACTCGTACTGTACCTTGTTATCCTGCATGTCTCTGTTGGCTCCATTTTTCAGCAGCACCAGTGTTGCTTCCACATTGTTGACAGCAGCAGCCCAGTGAAGAGCAGATTTACCTAAAGGGAAACCCAGCAACTTCAGTAACAAGCTGAGGAGCTTCTTTTAAAGCATCAAGATGGATAACAAGAGCACCCTTGAAGAAAAATACTAAGAACCCATACTATGGGTTCTGCAGCATGGTATGCCCTGAGGGACATGCTTACACTCTGGTAGTCATCACACTGTCACATACTCCCACATTCTCAAGGTGTGATGGGACTCTCAGCACAGGCTTTAGGATTTCCTTATATAACCTACCCCACAGTGTCACATCTAGAGCACAGAAGACCCCAGCATAAGCAGTGCTGTATCTCTCTCCCTTTCCTTCCAGGATTGTCCAACCAAACCACTCTGCAGGGGTCTGCAGTCAGTTACTACTGGATAGGACCTTCCACGGGACACCCTGTGTGCCCTGTTTGGCCACATAAGTCACGAGCTGCCCGTGCTCTGGAAGAGCAGAAGCCCAACCCTTCCTGCTCACACCACGACAAACGCCTGCCCAGCCCGGGCCATCAGGCCATGTTACCATGGTCATCCACTGCGTTCACATCTGCCTGGCAGTTGATCAGCTCGGCCACCATCCCTTCCACAGCCAACCGCGCAGCCAGAATTAACGGGGTTGTTCCGTCATTCATCCGGGCGTCCAAGTCTGTCACTCTGTTACGGATCAAGATCTGCACAACAGGAGAAGAGAGAATTTTTCAGTACTGCTAAGGACTGAGACTGAGGATTTACAACAAACTGAGGAGAAACTTTGCAATGAAATATCGCCATGAGGTCTGAATGCAAGGATGCAGGTACGGGTAAGAGTGATAGAAGCAAACAGACCTAATAAACACATGGAAGATAATTTGTTTGGGGTTCTTCAATTGCTGTACCTGAAAAACACCCTGTGCATCAGCAGCTACAGCTGCATGCAGGGGAGTCCGGCCCATGTTGTCTCGTGCATTGGCGTCTGCACCGGCATCCAGCAACCGCTTGGCAGCATCTGCTCTTGAGTAACGGGCTGCTAAGTGCAGTGCCATCTCCCCAGTACGGTCTGTTTGGGCTTGCAGATTGGCACCCTGATAGATCAGGTCCGTTATTATATTTGCCGAGGAATCTTCCGCGTCCTCATCATCCTCGCTGATGTCAGAGCTGCCCACGCGTAGAGATGCCAACATGAGTGGGGTACATCCATCTGCAGAGGAAGAGATGTGATCACAGCAACCTGCTGGTGGGAGCAATGGGAAGGAAGCTCTCGTGTCCCATCCCCTGCCATTAGGCCCTGACAGACAGACAATCCCGCCAGTCACTTCAACTCACAGCCGCTCTCTTTATTTTAAATTCCAGCTGAATTAGTGGCCTGTTTTGCTTTTAAGCCGCATGTTAGCAGCTACTGCAACCACAATAAGACAACTCATGTGGACGTCCTGATAATACTCCTAGGGAAAAGTAGCAATTTCAAGAGAAAAATTGTTGGTGGCAACTATTTAGCAGACAGTGACCTAAAGAGAAATGTAGACAAAAGTCTACAAAAAACCCCCGTAACTTCATTAAAAGGGCACTGAAGCTGTGAAAATCAAACTCTAAGAAGCTGAAAAATGCAGCAGCAGCACTGCCTGAACCAAACCCATTTTGCTTTCAAGGACATCCATCTTTGCAACACTAAACAAACTAACCAGGCACACGCTGTACTTTCACAGAAACCCTGCATAGGATTGTGGAACAGCACCTAAGTCAGTTTTATTCTTGAACTACATCATCTTACACGCGCACGATGTCTTGTTCCCCATGCACTAACTGCTCATGACTACAAATCCCTGAAAGGGTCTCCACAGTGTGGGTGTTTCTGAAGGTATCGGGCTCCTCTCTCTCCTCAAGTCTCCACGATGGGATATTCACAAAGGCTGACCTCAAGGCCAGGATGGTTCCTGCCCCCAGGATCCATCCACCAGCACTGGAAGATGGACAGACTTCAGGCGTCTCCCAATTTAACTTGGCTTCCTGGGGAGAGCTTCCCTCTCTCTCTGCTGATCACAGAGGGTAGCCTAGGAGGATCAGCTCTCCCTCTTAAATTTCCCCATTATTAGTATCCCCTTCAAAACAGTGCAATTAAGGCTTAAAACATCCCCACTGATTTTCAACAACCAAGCTGCAGAGCTGCCATGGGGCATGCAGCAAATTCTGCCTCCCCAGTGGGGCTCGCTTAGAGCAGCCCAGGACAATTTTTCAGCAACTGCCTGCTTCATTTCGGAGCAGGGGACTTGCTGTACCCCACGGACAACAGCTTCCTGCACACACAGCTCACCTGCAGTGCACGGTCCGTACGGAACGTGCCCTGCAGCAAGCAGGACAGTGTGATCACAGCATTAGGAGCCCGTGTTCATAAAGAAGTGGTATTCACCCCGTGAGTGCCACACAGAGAACTAACACCCTTCCCTTCCACCCTCAGTTCCCGTTTCTTTTTGAGCACCACGCTTTTCTGATTTGTTTTTTTTTTTAGTACGATTACAGAAGTTCTACAGAAGTCTAAAACTCCGTGTTTCTAGCCCAGGAACCCAGAGATGGCGGCTGCAGCTTCCAGCCCTGCGGCAGCAGAATTCCCGCTCCTCCTAGCGGCTCGACAGCGAAGGACAGGCGCCCTTTCACCAGACAACGTTCTGCAGAGCTGCTGGACAGCGGAGAGGGGCTGGCACATGGGCCCGGCTTCACTTCCAAGATCCAGGCGCGTCTATGGACCCTCCTGCCTGCTGTCCCAGGCGGCACCTCCTTTTGTGCTTCTCTTCCCCAGTGCTGGCTCTGCTTTCTTGCCCCAAATGAACACTTCTCAGTATGCAAGTCAGGCTGTGGTCTCCTCCGTTCCGCCCCGCCAATAAAAAGAGTGGAGAGAAGAGAGGAGCCTTCCTTCTCTCCAGCACCCCAATCCTGGGAAAAGCACTTTCCAGGAAAGGTCTTGATCAATCACTGCCATTGTCCTGGGCAGACCGTGGGGCTGCTCCATGGGATACACAGCTATAGCATGCATAAAAACCTTGGAAAAAGTAACTGTCATCAACAAGTCTCTCAGGTATGTGCTTTTTGGAGCCTCATAAGCTGACCACACACGGATAGTTTCATGAGGCTAACAAAAAAGCACATCCAGCCAGAGTGTCTCAATTAAACAGCTTTTGGAGCATTAGTGAAAAGCCATGGACACAATGTCTTTTTTCCTCCTTCGAGATTGTTCTCTGAAATAGCTGGAAAAGAATTCAAAAGGATCCAGCTGGAGGCAGACACGCAGCATGGAAAATTCCGGTCTGAACCACTAAAGTTTAAGCAACTAAAAAAAGAGGGCCATATAATAGGGACAGTTAATCAGTTTTAATTATAGGTGGTGTTACCAGCTATGCTTATAATTGCATTACCCTGGTTACACACTCGCAATAACTCCACTGAAAAGAATGTCCTCACCACTCTGGGGGACACAGAGAGAGAACAGCTTGGAGAGGCAAAGGTGAAAGCAGCATTGTATAAAACCTCTTCTGTTTGCTGTCTTCCAAGAAAAGGGCCCCTAAGTAGATGTAAAACTTACAAGAAGATGGTA